CACAAGGTTGGGACTGGTTTTGGTTTTTTTTTTCACGTGGTTGTATCAAATCAGCGAAAAAAGGGAACGGGAGCCGTCTCTTGGACATCCTGTCTGTGGCTTCTTTATTTGGGCAGGGAGTTTGTGCTTGGATGGGGAGGCAGCGGGTGTGGAGCCAGGGATGAGCTCCCTGTGGGAAAGGCAGGGCAGATTTATCCCAGGGCATAAACCCAGCTCTAAACCCGGCATTTGGAGCTGGGATATGCAGCGGGAACCTCCTGGCTTGTCCTGCCCAGCTCCTTTATCCCATTCATCCCCACGGCTCTGCCCGGGGCGAGGGAAAGTGCTGCTGGATGCCGGAGAAATCTCCCCTGGAGAGGGAAAACTTCCTCCAGCTTCTTCCCCACCGACTGCAACATCTGCTTGGGGATGAATCAGGCGGGTTCCCAGCGCCTGTGTGGGAGGGAAGAAGAAGGGAGAGAGCCGGAGGGGTCGGACCTGCCGGACTCCGGATGAGCATCCCGACCCCATCCCTGCATCCCAACTCCATCCCTGCATCCCGACCCCATCCCTGCATCCCAACTCCATCCCTGCATCCCAACTCCATCCCTGCATCCCGACCCCATCCCTGCATCCCGGTCCCATCCCTGCATCCCGGTCCCATCCCTGCATCCCGACCCCATCCCTGCATCCCGGTCCCATCCCTGCATCCCGACCCCATCCCTGCATCCCGGCTCGGCAGGGAGCTGCACCAGGGCGTTTAATTAGCCCAAATCAATTTCGAGCTTTAATTGCTTTGCTCGGTGTGGGTGGCACTCGGCGCTTGCCAAGGACATGACAACTGCCAAAAGCTGCGGCGCCTGGAATTGCCGCTCCCGGCGCTGCTCCTGCGGGGCTTTGCTGAGTGCCCCGGAGGAAAAAACCCAACCTGCAAACGCTCGGGATGGGAAATCATATCCCGAGTCAGCGTGTGTGGGAATCCAGAGCTGGGACCCTGGCAGGGGTCAGGAACCCCCCTGGACAGAGCCCCCAGAGACACTGGCTGTGATCTCTGTCCATGGAAAAGAGTTTTCAATCTTACAGGATGAATTACCAGCTCTGAGTGTTTGATATAAGTAATAATTAAGTGTGGCACGGGTGAAAAAGTAAAATTTTAGGATTCTAGATTAGGGGTTCAAAGGGGACAAGATGGAGGAATTGGGTGTGTCTTGTCCTTTTCCTCCTTCTTCATGCCCTCCATGTTTCACTGTGGGGTTGGCATTTTTCTGTTGGTTCAGGCTGGGGACACACTGTCCAACGTAGGTGAGATATTAGCACGTTATTGTAAATCCAGCACAGGTAGTTTGTGGTATTTAATGTTTGTACCATCCCACTGAGGGCAGAGCCCCACACGCTGCCCTGCAGGACAGAGCTGCGGCAGGGCAGCAGAACATGTTAGAGATAAACAGAATAAACAACCTTGAAACAGCACAGACAAATTATGGCTTCTGCTTTGGCAGCGGGGCAGAAAGACAGAGAGTTTTACAATCTCAGAATCATCAATAGCTCAGATTCTGACAATGGTGGTTTCCTTTCATCCTGCTGAACACGGGGATCAGGGTGAGACCAGCATCCTGCTCCTGCCTGGGCCTGGGGAAGGGGCAGGTGCCAGGGGTGGGGGTGGGTGGTTCTGGGGGGCTGCAGAGCTCAGCCTTGCTGGGAGCACTGGGATTGAGCCGGGCCGTGGCTCTGGAGCCCTCAGAGCTGTCGGGATTTCGGTCACTGCTCCATGTCCCGGGCTCAGGCCTTGGCAAGGCCACGTGCAGGAGCACCCATGGCCGAGCATTCCCAGCCCCAGCAGGCCCTGGTGTGGTTTTGGGAAGTCCAAAAACTCCCACCAGGTCCCAGCTGGTGCCACCCAGAGCTGCCTGGGCTGAGCATCTCTTGGTGGCACCGTTGAACTCCAGACACACAAAAGGAAATCCCATCAGTTTGCAGTTGATTTTCTCCTTTGCTGGCTGGATTCAGGATGGTTTTTGCCCTGTCTTTACAGCTGAGGGTAATTAATTCGCCTTAATTAGTATCTCGTGGTAGATGAACTTCCTTTCTGCTGGGGAGAGGGTTGGAATGGCTGGTGGCAAACTCGGGGCAGTGTTGCTTGAGCTGGTTCTGGGGTGTCCCAGTGGGGAAAATCCTGGACTGGGATGGGTGCTGGGACTGGGATGGGTGCTGGGACTGGGATGGGTGCTGGGAATGAGATGGGTGCTGGGACTGGGATGGGTGCTGGGACTGGGGTGGGTGCTGGGACTGGGGTGGGTGCTGGGACTGGGGTGGGTGCTGGGAGTGGGATGGGTGCTGGGATTGGGATGGGTGCTGGGACTGGGATGGGTGCTGGGACTGGGGTGGGTGCCGGGACTGGGATGGGTGCTGGGACTGGGATGGGTGCTGGGAGTGGGGTGGGTGACAGGACTGGGATGGGTGCTGGGAGTGGGATGGGTGCTGGGAGTGGGATGGGTGCTGGGACTGGGGTGGGTGCTGGGACTGGGATGGGTGCCGGGACTGGGGTGGGTGCCGGGACTGGGATGGGTGCTGGGACTGGGATGGGTGAGGTTTGGGAGCGCGGGATCTGCGTGGGGAGGGAAGGAATTTCCCCGGTGCCACATCAAGCCTGGGGTTATCCAAACCTCCTGCTCTGTGTGGGTGGAGGCTGCGCTGCTCAGTGCTCCCAGTCTGGGGGGCTGCCCCAAAAACCTCTTGTTTGTCCCCCCAAACCCCATCCCTGCATCCAGCCTTTCCCATCCCTCCTACTCGGGGGACTCTGGAGCTTCTCCCATCCCCTCTGTGGTCCCCAAAGAACTTTTCTTGCAGGTGTTAAAGGCGCTGGGGTGACAGAGCTGCCACCACAGAGCCTCTGCGGGCTGGGGGGGCTGCCTGGAAGCATCTGCAGCATCCTGGTGGTAATGAAATCCATCGGGGAAAAGCAGCCCCTGAGCAGCAGGAACGGCGTTTGGGAGCCAGATTTGCCTGAAGGGAAGTGACTCAACGTCTTGGAAGGATTTGGGGGCGGTGTGGGGAGCAGAGGACAGAGCTGACCCGGGGTGGGGACAGCACCCACCTGCCTCCCGTCGGGCTCCCGGCTGGAGCAGCATCCCTGCGGAGCGCTCCGGGCTCCGTTATCCCTCGGTGGGACGGTGTTCTCGGGCCGGGGAGGGGGGCACAGGAAAAGAGGCCCCTCGGGAAGCGTTTGTTGCTTCCTCACGCTGGGTTGTGATCCCGGCCAGCGTTCCCAGCTCCCGGTGTCACACCCTCTCCCAGCTGTTTGCTCGCCGAGCATCGCGCTGCCAAAAAAACCTCGGTGATGGATGCAACTCCCTCCCCGCTCCCTTAAAAGCGGCGGGGAGCGGCTCCGTGCCTGTGTCTGGGATCCCGCCTGGCAATGGGATCCCGCTGCCACCCCGAGCTCGCCCTGCCCGGCACGGAGCGGCGGGACAGCGTTGGCACCGCGCGAGGTACGGACAGGTCACTTGGTGGGGGACACTGGGGAGCAGATGGGACAGGAGGAGGTGGCAGAGCCATGGGGCAGATCCATCCTGTGCCGCTCCCCAGCCGGCTCCGTGTTTCTCATAGTTTTTATAATAATTTTTATAATTTTGGGCTGTGTTTCCCCCGCTGTCCTGGGGCACCGCTCCTCTGCACCTTGCTGGGGACATGCCACAGGTGCCACCAGTGTGGAACATCCCGGGGCTCCTGGCAGAGAGGGACACCGGGGAGGCGGTCACGAGTGCCCAGCCTGGCTCCAGAGGGCATTGGCACATCCCTGCCCACTTCACGCCTCTCTGGGGCTTCTCCTTTCCCCGCAGGAACCGGCACATCAGCATTTTTCTAGCCCTGATTCAGCTCAGGGACACAGAGTTGCGACACAGAGTTGTGCAAAGCTGGCGACGCCTCCGATTCCTCTTTTTTGGCTCTCACGGGAGCTCCTCCACGTGGGACGGGGTCAATGTCCCCACGCCGCGGGACATGGTGGCCTTTAGCTCCCTCCCACCTGCCAGCACTCCCTGCTGGCATCACCCCCTGTCCCCTGGTCACACCTGGGTGGGGCTTTTGCAGCTCTGAGGGAACTGGGATTTGTTCCCCGTGCGTGGGAGAAGCCAAGAGCTGGAAAACTCACGGATTTGGGTGTGGGAGAGCAGTGGGAGCTCTGCTGGGAGGTGATGCTCTTTCACATCATGCTGCAGCTTCTGCTCCAGGTGTTCTCATCTCCCTCTGGCTGAGCTCTCCTGGCTCAGGGCAGGGATTTGGTCTCTCCAGAGCTGCACCGTGGATGCCACTGGTGATTTCCAGCTCCTGGCAGGCACAGGGCTGAGGTCAGGGTGGTGACCCTCTCTTTGGGGGTACAAAGCAGGCCAATGCACTGTGGGATGAACAGCTGGGAATGGACAGGACTCGTGAGCAGCTTCTCCTCTTCCCTGCACCCCAAGAATGGCTTTGGGTTCCCCATCTCCTGTGTGTGTGAGCCAGGAGCATCCCAGCAGCAGGGCAGGGATTTGGGGTGCCTGGGGAGCAGGGCTGAAGGGCAGTGCTCACAATGAGGGATACCCAAACCCTTCCCAAAGCTCCCAGGAGATTCCCAAGCCACTGTGGGCAGCAGAGGAGCCGTGGTGGATAGGACATGTCACTGCTGCCACATCCCCTTCTGTGTCCGGCTGAACTCCGCAAACTCAACATCCTCCCCCAGAGCTTCCCCCTTCCCCTGGCAGCTCTGCTGAGGCCAGCAGCGGGTTTGTTCCACGGGCTGCCTTTATTTTCCTCATCCTCCCATCCCATGTGCCTCTCCTCGGGATGAGGCAGCTCGGCAATATCCGTGTCAGCTCCAGCTGGGTGCCAAAGCCACAAGCCCGGGGTCATTCCCATGCCAGCCCTAACGGGGCTGGAGGAGAGGCAGAGAGGTCTAATCCAGCCTCTGAATGCTGAAAATTCCTTGGGGATTTATCCAGCTCAGGTAAACACCTCTGGATTCATATATATTTGTTAATTTCTATTTTTTGTAGGGATTTGGGAGGAAGGGTTTGCTGGAGATTTGCAACCAGTTGAGTTTTTTTTTGCTTCCCTGTTGTTCTGCAGTGGGTTTGGCGTCTCTGGGATCCCCATTGTCCTTCACCCCAAACCCCCTAATTTTCCCTACAACCCCAACCTCTTTTGGAGCTGGGCTTTGCAGCCTGTGGGGTGGGAAAACAGCACGGAAAGGAGAGGAGCTGGCAGTGAATTTGGGGGGGTTGATGTCCTGACAGTGTGGCAGTGTCCCCTGGCTGGGGACAGGGAGAACAGGGTGGCTTTTCTTTGCCGTGCTGATCAGCATTCAGCTGGGGACACGGAGCACAGCTGGGAGGATGCTCCCACGGATCCGGGGTGACTTCCTCACTCGAGGGGGGGCTGAGCCTGCTGTCCCCTGCCATGCCACATCCCCTGCGGGGTCACGTCCCTCCTGCAGCCCCATTTCTGTTTTCTTGGCTTTCTTTCCCTTTGTGCGCCCCAAATGCAGAGTGATGTCCCCAAGGTTTTGTCCCTGACAAAGCCCAAGCCGTGGTCAGGGACAGCATCACTGCACTGCTGGGCTGGAGCAGGGAGGATGCTCTGGAAAAAGGAGTTTTTTTCATCTTTTTATTGCCTGAGAAGTGCCAGGAGAAAACCTTGGATTATTAGAAGACAGCAGAGGAGATGAAAGAACTTTTATTATCTTGGAAGCCGAGTCATTTTAAGCAGCTCAGAAGTACAAACTGCCCTTTTTCAAGGAAATCTTTGCCTGTGTAGGTGCAAACACCCAAATTTTTCCCCTTTAATCCTCAAACCTTCCCAAGAGCAGAATGGATGGAGCAAAAGGCCGGGATTTTATGAACAGCGTGGCTCTTTCAACACTTGCTGCTAGGGAAGGCCGGGTTCCTCTGCTGGAGTTTCACCCTGGGAGGGGCCTTTCCTCACCCAAATTTTGAGATTAAACCCCTTTTTATGGCAGGATTGGGGCACTTTCCCCCATGGCTGTGGCCAGGAGGATCCGTGGGACCCATCCCATCCTATCCCAGCCTGACCCGCTCAGCCCGGCCGGCTCTGCCCAGATAAACACTGACTCATGTTTTTCTGTCCCACCCTGGGCACAGCAGCTTTTTTAAGGCTGCCTTTTCCAGCTATTCCCTTTTTCCTGTGCTGTTCACACGGGTGGAGTGCAGCCTCAGCCTCAGGGATGCAGGGACAGGCTGGGGATGCCGGAGGCTGCCGGGTGTGGGGGTCCCGGATCCGTGATGGAGAACTGGGATGTGCCTGAGTGGATGCAGGTAGGGATTAAGCTTCCCACTGCCCTTGGAGCAGAGCTCTGTGCCTCAGTTTCCCCCGTGGTTGTGCCTCATCTTTTTGCCCTGGGGGTCTCCAGGTGCTGGGGGAGGTTTGGGAGAATTTCCAGCCCTTGATCCTCCCATGGCATCCCACATCTCTGTGTCCTCCCCATCCTGCTGGAGCGGGACAGAGGGGTCAGGGGTGGTGGCAGAGCTGGAATCAGCCAGGAGCAGCTTTTTGGGAGGTTGGAGTTTGGGGGTTGGAGATCTGAACTCCCCCTCGATGGGCTGGTGGTGGATTTCCACCGAGGAACGGGGCTTGATCCCGGGTGTCCCGGGTGGGAGTGGGATGCTGAGCAGCCTCATCCCTGTGGCATCTGTTGCCATGGCAATCACCTGCCAAAACAAAGGGGAATTGGAGCTGGGTACCCGGAGCTGCTTTCCCATTTGGTGCCTCGTTCCCTGAGATTCCTGGGAGCTGGATCCCTGCAGGGATGTAACCCTGGGCTGGGAACACGTGGGTGACAGAGGGATGGATGGGGTGGCCTCGGGTGCCAGCTTGGGATGGGGTAGATGCCTTGGAATTCTTAGGGATGCTCGAGCTCAGCCAGAGCTGTGAACCCCCACGGAACAGGGACCAGCGCCTGGTACCTGTCCCCGGGGACATCCCTGCCCTGCAGGGACACCCGGGGCTCTGGTGCCAGCAGCTCCAGAGGGACGTGGAGCTCCTGTTTTACCCCGAGCCCTTCCCGAACATCTGCCGGCAATTCCCCCTCTCTCCCGGGAAGCTGTGCCGGAGCTGCCCGCGCCTCCCACGGCCGGAGGAAGCGGGGTTGGGGTTTGGGGTGCGCTGGGAGCTCGGAAACCGCCGGTGGGAAGAGGAGAGGGAAGGGCTCCAAGGGAGGAAAGGCAGAGGAGGCGGGCACGGACCCGGCTGTTCCCCGGGCTTTGTTTGATCTATCCGGGGACAAGAATTTTCTAGGGGGGACAAGCACCGACCCAAAGGCTCCCCCACTTTCCCCAGTGCTGCAGAGCCAGCCCTGGCAGGTCCCAGACGGATTTATTTCATGTTTTACATCAAAGCGTGATGCACTTTGACAGCTCAGGCAGGATCTGATGTACTCAAAAGCTGCTCTGCTGGTTTGATTTAATTTAATTTGATTTGATTTGATTTGATTAGGTTCTATCAGTTCTCCTCAACCTGTCGCAGTGCCTCCAGTAAAAGCCTGGCCGGAGGGGGCAGGAGGCGGTGCTGGCAGCCTGCCCATCCCTATAAACTCCTGGAGCGGGCTCTGGCACCGCCCTGCCCGCTGGCACCGCTGGCATCGCTGCCCGAGCATCCCCTGCCCTCCCCGCGTCCCGATCCCACCGCCTGTCCCCGCTCACATCCGTCCCCCGCCCGTTTGCTTGGCCAGGACAGAGGGTTTTTTTCGCCCAGAAAAAGCTGGATTTGAACATTTTCTGCTGTTCTCTCGATTTCCTGTTGCCTTCCCAAGAACAACATCCCTGACCTCATCCTCCCCCGGTATGTGGCGGGATGCTGCCGGTGCTCCAGCCGCCCGTCGGGGATCCCACCCGGCCTTCCCTGGGTACCAAGACAAACACAGCTGCGGCAGTGACGGAGAAAAGGCTATTTTGGGTAAATCCTCTGCTCATTTTTGTTGAGGTAGGAGGACAAAGATTAATAGATTGAAGGGAGAACAGTGGTTTTGGCTTGAGCAGGGAATTTTCAGCCCAGAGAGGAGCAATGAAACACTCTTAGTATTATGTGGCTTTTTTTTTTTCCCTTCCAGACTTTGGAATTTTTTTGCTGTGAGAAATGAGGAGGTTTCATGCAGCCGCCCCTGGGACTCTCAATTTTTGGGAGAATTTTGGAGAGGCAGGTGGGAGTTTGCTGGATGATTTTTGGGCTCCCGGTGTCCATCCTGCCCATCTGGAATGTTCATGGTGGGATTGGCCTGCTGCTCCCGTGGAGTTTGGGATTGCTGGAAACAAACCCATCCTCTGCCAAATCCCACAGGGAAGCAGAGTCCTGCTGTTCCCATTGCTCTCTGCTATCCTCACTCCAGCTGGGAACAGAGACCAATCCCTGCCCAAGCTGACAGGGCAAAATGAACAGAGAATTCAGATAAATAATCCAATAAAATTAGTCTTGTAATGAGCTGAAAGTCATCAGGCACAGCAATTAAAAATAATAATAACGGGCAGATTTTACATTAAAAACATGGAAGTGGACACGGTGGGAAGAGGAGTGGGAATTTCTCCAGTCCCTCTGGAGCAGGGGCTGAATGTGGGGTCAGGGTGAGGGGTGGGAATGTCTCACTTGCCCCATGGATGACACCACAGGGGCAAAGGGGGTTGTGGAGCAAGTCCAGGGAGCTTTTAGGGTTCTCTGGATGGTGGGAGGTGGGATGGGGTGGGATATGATGCAATGGGGTGTGGTGGGATGGGAGGCAATGAAGTGGGATGGGATATGAGGCAATGGGGTGGGGTGGGAGGGATATGGGGTTCTGGGCTCCCCCACCTCTCTGGGGCTCTGCCTTTGGCAAGGGGGTGACCTGAAATCCCAGTTCCATAAAGCAACCCTCGTTAATCAACATTAACATCGCTGGGAGAGTCAGTTCTGCTGATTCTGTTCCTTCCACCGGATCATCGACTTCAATTCATCTCTTTGCCCGTGAAGGTTTTGCTGGGACAAGGTCTCTCCCCAGCTCCAGCTCATTCCCAAACTTTGCACTCAAACCTCATTTGTTCTGGCTGCTTATCGTCCCCCGGAGCTGGGCCAGGGGGAGGTGACAGGGTGGGATTTCACCCCTGGCCAGGGACTCTGCAACAGCAATGGCAGGAAGGAACAGCAGGAAAAGCCCAGGGAGAAACAATAGCTTCCAACACAAACACCATGGGAATTTCAAAGCAGGGCTGGGGGAGCTTTGGGGTGAAACGCCTCGGGAACAGGGAGGGTCCTTGGGCGTCCCCACATCCCTCCTGTGAGGACACGTCCGTGTGGGATGCTCTGTGCTTCTCATCAGGCTTTCAGTTTTGGTTTTAACCCTCCTGAGCCAGGTAGGGGATTTTATATCCTGGATTCTTACAGGGGAGAGGTTGAACCCCCCTCAATCCAGGCTCAGGTGATGCTGTTGGTTTACCAAAATTAACATATTTAAACATAAAGGGCATCAGTTAAGTCAGGAAAACAACCCTGTGAGAATGCAGGATATAAAATAGATTGTGCAGATAATGTGTACCTCGTTTATAACTTGAATTATTGATTTAATATGATAATTTATTTATTTATTATCATTAACCCGTGGTTGATTAGTTGGTTCTTCGTGTGCACTTGAGGATGCTGCTCGTGTCGGGTGCTTGTGCAGAGAGTACAGGATGGGATTTCTGTCCTGGGTTATCCCAAAAGCTGCTGGGATCATGGCAGGCTCCCACCTTCCCCAGCCTGGAGGTGAGGAGGGTCTCCAGGCCAGCACAGTCCCCCGAGGGAGGCTGCTCAGGGTTAATTACTGCCACACCCTGATTGGGTTTCCTCCCTTAACCCCACATCCGGGGGCGAGTGGCCTTTCTTTGATCCTGCCTTTAATGTTACAGCTCCTGCCTTAGGCCGGAGTGGAGGGAGCTGCCGTCGTGCCCTGGGACGCTGAAGTGTCACCTGAACCCCATCCCGACAGAGAGGAGAGAGGTGAGAGGGTGCCTGGTGTCAGCGGGGTGTGCGGGGAGCTTCCCTTTGGGTTTTCAGTCCGATTCAGTTAAAAAAAAAAAAAAAATTTAGAGAGGAGCCATAATATGTTGCAGATTGGAAAGTCAGAGCTGCTGATGAGCTGTTAATGAGCATTATCCCGGTTTTCCCCCTGGAAGTAGGCGGGTAATCCACGTTTTCTGCAGGATGAGGCTGCAGCCACATCCTGGTGGAGCTGAGGGACTGAATCACGTCCTGATGTCTCATGGATGGGGGTGGAAATGAGGGAGGAGCTGCGGGAACAGCTCCTCGGGACCAGTGGGGTTCTCACGGGATCCCCCATTCCTGCGTGTTTGTCCCTTCTCTCCCTGTCCCCACTTCCCACACACACGCTGGGGGCCCTTGTCCCTTCTGCGATTAACACCAAGCGTTTGCTCAGCAGGGGAACATCCCTGGCTGCAGATCCCGGTGTCCCAGATCCCCGGGATCCCAGGGATTCGCACGGGCCATGGCGTTTCCCAACCAGTCCGACTACTTGGATGGCCTCAATAACAACTACAGCGACTACTCGGATTATTCCTACGAGGACACCGGCAGCACGCGGGCAGACCCAGGCCACGACCCCGAGGACATCACCAGGGTCCTGTCCGTCATCATCTACAGCGTGTCCTGCGTGCTGGGCATCCTGGGCAACGGCCTCGTGATCGCCATCATCACCCTGAAGATGAAGAAGTCGGTCAACGCCGTCTGGTTTCTCAACCTGGCCGTGGCCGACTTCCTCTTCAACATCTTCCTGCCCATCAACATCGCCTACACGGCCATGGGCTACCACTGGATCTTCGGCACGGCCATGTGCAAGCTGAACTCCTTCCTCCTCATCCTCAACATGTACACGAGCGTCCTGCTGCTCACCACCATCAGCTTCGACCGCTACGTGTCCGTGGTGTTCCCGGTGTGGTCGCAGAACCACCGCTCCACCAACCTGGCCTACGGGGTTTGTGTGGTCATCTGGAGCGTGGGCGTCGTCATGAGCTGCCCCTCGCTCGTCTTCCGGGACACGATGCAGATCCGCGACTCCGTGATTTGTTTCAGCAACTTCTCCCTCTCCTGGAATAAATCCTACAAAGGGCTGTCGGTGATGAGGCACCGCACCGTGAACATCACCAGGTTCCTGGCCGGGTACATCCTCCCCATCACCATCATCACCTTCTGCTACGTCGCCATCGTCTTCAACCTGCGCCGGAACCGCCTGGCGAAGTCCAAGAAGCCCTTCAAGATTATTGTCACCATCATTGTCACCTTCTTCCTCTGCTGGAGTCCCTACCACCTGCTGAACCTGCTGGAGACGGTGCCCGACGCAGTGCCCCGCTCTGTGTTTGAGATCTTCATCCCGCTCACCACGGCTCTGGCAGCCTCCAACAGCTGCATGAACCCCGTCCTCTACGTCTTCATGGGCCAGGACTTCAAGAAGTTCAAGGTGACCCTCCTTTCCAGGCTGGTGAACGCCCTCAGCGAGGAGACAGGACACTCCAGCATCGTGCACAGGAGCTTCTCCAAGGTCTCCTCCATGACTGAGAAAGAGACAACGGTTGTCTAAACTCAGCCTGCAGGAGGGACAGGATCCCGTGGTGTTGGCACGGTGACGGTGACTGGCCTGGTTGTGGGTCAAGCATTGTCCAGCACTGTCCTACAGCCCATTTTTGACTGGTGTTGCTGCCTGGGGGCTGGCAGGGGAAGGAGACCCCCAAAGTATGGAGAAGACACAACCAGCCTTGATCCCGTGTGGGATTGCAAAAATCCTTGTGCCGATCTAAGAAGACATTTTTGGGTGTCCCCATCCAAACTGCATTGCCTGAGCCGGGAAGGGCTTTCCTGGTGCTTCCAGAGGCACCGTGGTGGGTGCAGGATATCAGGAAAACATCTCCTGTGCCATGGCCAAACTGGTGACACTCCTTTGTCCCATGTCTTTGTGTGGCTCCTCATGGTAAATCCCTGAGGTATTTTGGTACCAGAACAAGGTGTTTGTGACTTTTTTGGGAAGTGTCCTTAGGAGGGGCTGGAATATCTCACCTCAAAGAACTGGGAAGTCTCAAATTTCTTCTAAGTGATCCAGAGCCAGGGCCACCTTCCAGCGTGGGACTGGGCTCACACACAGGGTCACCAGCATGGAAAACTGGGAGAAGAAAGAGGGAAAGGTCCATTTGAAATGACTTTTTAAACCTCCTTTTGATGGACACATTCCACACGGTACATCCTGCAGCAAAGGTGGATGTTTGGGACCAGGAACAGGCCCATGAGCTGGGAATGAGCTCCTGGGAAGGAACTGCTGTCTCCTCCAGCATCCAGGGGAGACTGGCTCTGTTGCTAGCTGCTTCCTGGGGGGACCAGTTGATTCTGTGGGATGATTTTGTCTCATCCCACCTTGGGACACTCTGGGAATCTCGTGGGTGACTCTGCTGTGAAGGATGGGCCAAGCCACCACCTCAATCCAGTTTCACACCCAGTTGATTTGGGAGCTCCTTCTCCATTAGGGCTCCTTCACCACGGCCCCAGTGTCACCCTCATTTCTGTGTCACTCCCTGGAGCTGGCTTTGGACAGCCCCAGTGGCTCTGGGGGCATTTCAGGGGGTCCCTCAGGGAGTTTTGTGCAGGTTTTGGCAGTGAAGAATCTGCTCCCAGGTGCCCACAGAAGCCGAAATATTTATTTATAGCTTTCCTTGGAAATCAGAAAATGGAAAAACAAAACGGGGAGGCAGCTCCCCAGGGAACTATTTCCAGGCAGCAGATTGTGCCAGCTGCAGGTACAAGTAAAGCCCCAGTAACTGAGCCATGGGAATGCTGAGGATCAGAGCGGGGTTTCGGGATTTCAGACGGATTATCCGGCATCCTCTCCGCCCCAACGCTGCCTCGCTGCTCCAGCTCGGTCTGCATCACCTCCTTTGTGTGATGGAGCAACCTGGATTTTTGGGACACTCAGCACTTGGATTTTTGGGACACTCAGTGCCTGGATTTTTGGGACACCCAGCACCTGGATTGTTGGGACACTCAGCACCTGGATTGTTGGGACACTCAGCACCTGGATTTTTGGGACACCCAGCACCTGGATTGTCTCCATATCTCCGGGGGTTGGGATTTTCCCACTTCCCTCGGGAGCACTGCCACACATCCCTGCTCCACACCACGTCCCATGGCCAAGCCCACAGCTACTCCCATCCCTGATCCCCAAAGATTTTTTTTCCCCCAAAATCCATGCTGGATCCATACCCATGGAAGATGTAGTGCCTTAAGAGGCTGCAGGGCCTTTCTGGTGGTGGGAGGAGGCTCCTCTTGCTCATTTTCCCCAGCATTTAATGAATATTGCTGGCATGTTGCCAGGATCCTGTTCGGAGTGGGATAGGACAGATGGGATGGACGGGACAGATGGACACACAGGGACACACAGAACTTGTAGGGGATCTGTTTAGGGAGCAGTGGGAGTGGGATGTACCCAGAGCCAGCAGCCTCTGGGGCTTTTTGGGCTCAAGGTTTGGAGAAGGCCTGGATGTGGGAACAGTGGGATGAAGGCTCAAGGACTGGATGTCATCCCATGGCCCCTCAGGTTGGTGCTGGGATGTTCATAATGGATTCAGGATGCTCCTCGCTAATTCTGGTGACTGTTTTTTTTTCAAACCCATCTGTTATTACTCCAAACAGCTTTAAAAAAACAAAAAAGAAAGAAAAAAAAAAAAAAGCAGTGCCTTGGTACTTACCCTGGGGTTAAATCATCCCTGCAATGGCAGCTTGGCAATCCCAAGTTTCCCAAATATTTGGGTGCATTTTTGTAGCCGTTTGCTTATTTAATAAAACCTCTGTTTTCCAGACAAATACCTCGATGTGTGGCGTGGGAAGGATCCCAGGGTTTTTCACTGAGCTGTCCCTTCCCTGTGTGTATTCCTGATCCCTGGTGTCCAATTTGGAATTGTGGAAAGAGCTCAGGAGCAGTGGGATGGGGTTTGAGTGGCTGAGGTGGGATCTGAGCCTCTTGGATGGGCTTTGGGAGATCCCCCAACATCCATCCAGACACCAGTGCTGGTGTTCTGTCCCCTCCTGTTCTGATTCTCCTCATCCAGGCAGGTTTTGGGATGAGGATGGGGAAGAGAAGGGAAAAATCCACTGGGTTTTTCCTGCTGGACCCTGTTAGCTTTGAATTAACATCCCCAAGGAATATCAGGGATTTCTGTTCCCGACACTCTGAGACAGGCAGCAAACAGCTCACCCAGGCTGTGTTAAAGCACATTTTTATAAGTCTATAAAATAGAAACAGGGAAAAAAAAAACATTCCTCAGAAAACTTCAGCCTCCTCAGCCAGGTTTTTCTTCCCTTTTTGGCAGAGTGGCAAAGAAATGCAGCTCAGTGTTGCTCCAGTTCCTCTGATATTCCCGAAATACTGCAGGAGCTGCAGCTCTGGAATCTCCAAGGGTGCTGAGGATGGATCCTGTCAGCATTCCTTGGGTTTTTTGCAGTGCTGGATATTTTTGTTCATGGAGGGGAGGGGGCTGCACTCCCCCAGAGTGTTGGGAAGCTCCAATATATTAAATCAAGGATCCTTGGATGGATCCTGGTGACCCGATCCCGCCCCTGCGCTGCTCAGCTGGAGACATCCTTAGCTGTTAATTAACAAAGTCCTCTTGATTAACGGCAGCAGGAGGTTAATGACCACGGGCAGCTCCAGGGGAACGTGCACTAACTGGAATTAGCATCCAGGGAAAGGGCTGGGTGGGAGCTGCAGCTCCAGGGCTGGTGGTGCTGGGATCTGCCAGCCCTTTTGGGGCAGAAATCGGTGAAATTGGGATGCAGGTGGATTTAACACCTCAGAGTCAAGGGATGAGTAGGATGCAGAGCCACCACCTTCCCCATGAAATCTGGAATTAGGGCAGTTGTGCTTGTGGTAAGGAAGAAGAGCAGGGTTTGGAGGTGGAGCACAAACCCTCCATCCCAGAACCCCCACCCCCAGCCTTGGAGCACCAACCTTTGTCCAAGACCCTTATCCCAAACCCTGGGACTCCAACCCCATCCACATCCCTGTGATTCTCACCCTCAGCCCAGAATCTCCAGCCCAGAACCTTGGGACCCCCAGTCCACCCCTCCCAAATCCTGTTCCCAGCCATTCCCCCGCTCCCTACCCCATTGCGCTGTGGGGTTCTGCACCCCCAGACCCCAGAGATGTTGTTGCAGCCCACTGGGAGCTGTGGCAGGGCTGGTCCTCACCCAGCACATCCCAAACCTGCCCTATTCCCACTGCTGCTTCCCTGGATTTACCCCCCACACCCCAAACCCAAGGCTGGGTCTCATTTCCTGGGAGAGAATACTCCGGAATACAACAAACCCCGTTCCTGTGGAATGTGTTACCATCCTTAACGACAGCTCTTTTTCACTTGGCTGTCACAGCCCTAAAATAAAGCCGTGTTTTCTCTCTCCCATAAATCACTGCCTTTATTCCGAATTGGAATTAAATTTAAAATTAAGGGGAAAAAAAAATAAAAAAAAGAACTAAACGTGTTCCACTCTCCCTTTGCTCGGAGCCGGGTTTAAATTATCCCTGCTGTGCTCAGGCACGTTGTCAGCTGTAAATTTTAGGGGAAATAGCCAAGCTGATACATAAACCTGTTGGTTTTGTCAGGGATGGAGATGGCTGCTCTCAGATTTATGGCCCATCTCCCCATTCTGGGGTTTTTGTGGAAGTGCTGCTGTTGAGGGGGGGAATTTCCTTTTTTTTTTTAAACCCAGCTGGAGCTTCACAGGATTTAATTTGGGAGGAAGGGGAACTCCTTCTCTCTGAGCTCCCCAGCATCGTTTCCATCACTGGGGGCATTGCCCAGAATCCCCTGAATTCACCCCAAAGGAGCATCCACTCCCTTTGCCAGGAAGGGATCCCAAACCCGAGCCACGCTTGGAACCCCCTCCAGCATCAAAGCGTCCAGGGAGCACAAAACCCCGCAGGAATTGGGGGAAATGCGGGAATTTTTGGTGCAGACGCCGTTGCCAGGGCAACATCTGAGCAACCCATGCAGCCCTGGAGGGAGGAACGCTGCAGCAGGACCGGGAGGCAGGAAAACTCCATAATTTGATGATTTTTTCCAGCAGGAATGCAGGGAGGAGATGAGGGGGTCACGGTCCCTCCAGCCCCACGGCAGGGCAGGGCTGTGCCCACCCAGGGATGCTCAGGCTGAGTCAAGAGGAAAGATTCCCAGTTTTTCCAATCCTCATGGAAATGCTGAGTGCTGCCTCCCCCAGGCAGCCGGGCGGGCGAGTAAATGTCAAGAGCATTCCCCAGGAAAATGATGTGGGAAGGATGGCTGGCTCCTTTTTCCAGGAGGAATAGGAATTTTATCCTTACGTGGTTAAAATACAGCCCAGTGATTAATAAATAAATAAAAAATCCGAGTATGAAGCTCCAGGAAGGGGAAGCTGCTCCTGCATCAGTGGGATGAGGGGAAGGAGGATCCCAGAATCCAGAGGTGCAGCCAGATGTGCAGCACGCCCTGGCATGGTCATAATATCTTCCAACTGTTCCATTTCGGTGCAATTTAAATGTGTTAAATTAAAAAAAAGGCAATTGTGGTGCAATAAAAGCAGAGAAAAATAAAAGAGAAGATGTAAATTGATATTGCTGGAGGCTGGGGAGATTCCCAGGCTTTTTTTTTTTTTGTGGGAAGGGGTTGGTGGAGGCAGAGATGCAGATGTGGGGTCCCCTCCCCACCCTCCCCTCCCTCCTCCCAAGCTGCAGCCCAGGCTCCGAGCACTGCACGCGATGTCATCATCCCTTAATTGTTTTATCTCGGTGATTAATTGGCTTTGAGGGGTTAATTACTTCCGAGGGGCAGGAGGGAGCGCTGCCCCTTTGGCAGCCGGGGCCTGTCAGAACAAATCAAGGCCGAGGTGAGGCTTCATCCCTGCTTAAAAAAAAAAAAAATAAATAAAATGGAATGTCACCAGCTCCAGATTAGAAATAAGGGATAAATTGCACCCAGCTCTTGCTCTGGTGCCGAGGAAGGTCAGGAATAAATCCTGCGGTGAATCTCCCCCTTCCTACCAAGCATCCCATTAAACCGGTCTGTAAGAACACTCTCCAGGTACCAAAGCTCCCAAAAAGGAGCTGCTTGGGTTGCATTGTCAGCACAGAAATGACATTAATGGGATTTAAACACCTGTTAATGGGTTTAAATACAGAAATGGATTAATGGGATTAAAGGGGAGAGGAGCTGTTCTCCCTTTGCTCCACAGCCTTGCTCTGGGATGGGTGGGGGGTGCTCAGGTGGCCTCACAAACAACCAAACCTCTCCTTGAATTACTGGGTTACCCTGAGGGTTTGTTCTGGCTGACAGACAACCCTGGGGCTGCCATGGGCAAAGGAGTGCGGGCTCAGCTCCAATCCCACTGCCCTGAATCCCAAAAAAACCTCCGTCAAGGGAAGAGTTAAAAATGGGGCAGCTGCTCCCTCTGAATGCAATCCCCCACCTCCTTCCAAAAAACAAGGAGCAGGAGCCCCCCAGCCCAGCTCTGCTCCACACACACGTTAGAAAAATAGATTTTTTATTGAAATTCTCCTTTTTGCTCCAGGGAGTTGTCTTCTCTCTTGGAACAGAGACCAAGCAGGGTCTCTGAATTCGACCTGTGCCTGCATTTCTATCAGGATCGAGAGTTAAAAGCCAACTGGTGAATCTCTAACTCTAGAAAAGGCTGCGTACAATATATGGCTTTTGCACCTACATCCAAGGGGGTCTTGCAGGTTGGGAGCTTTGGGGGGCTCGTCTGGGACAAAGCCAGGATGGGGAAGGTGGCGTGGGATGAGGGGACAGCCAGGGACCACATGCAGCTGTGCACAAAGCCAGCCTGGAAATCAGCACATTCCCGGAGTGTGGGATCCTTTGGTTTGGCTTTGGGACACCCCAAAGCTCAGCCCCAGGGTTTGCTCCCCACAGGAGCAGTGTGGACCCTGCTCCTGGTCTCCCAAACTGCTCCTGGCTCCCCAAAAATGCTCCTGAGGGGCTGCTCTGGCTCGTGGGCTCTGAAACAAGGCCTGGGTGAGCTCGTGGGTCCCAGCAGCTCCTCTGTGCAGGGAAAATGTCCCCCTCTGGAGCTGCATCCACAGGGAAGAAGAGCTTCCACCTGTAGCCACACTGGTGGGGGACATGGGCCCCCACAATGGGCTGGAGCAGCAACTTTGCCTGGTGCCATGGCTGGGCAATTCTAGAGAGTTCTCAGGAGCCACAGCCACGTTTGGGGACATTGCCCAGCATGGCCTTGCAATCCCATAAACTCAGGCAGGATCCCTTGGTCCATCCTCAGGAAGGCTGAAGATTCCATCCGAGGACAAGTGGAATCCTTCCAGGGCTGGGATTTTTGGGGACACCCACCCTGGGGAGCTCAGCTCTGGGTACACCCAGCCTGAGCAGCTCGATGTCCCCAGGAGAGCCTGAGGGGACACAAAGATCCCATTGCACTTCCCAGGAGGGCTGGGGCAGCCAGAAGAGGAGCAGGGATCCCCGGGGCAGGGAAGGCACCCGTGTCCCCAGGCTGGCCAAATAAAAAAGCTCAGCGGTGGCTGAGGACCTGTGGCGGCTCATGCAGGGAGTGACCAACAGCTACAGCAGCACACGGAGGGTTAAAAGAGGAGCCACCCACTGGGTGGAATTAGGCAGAATCTGGGAGGACCGAGCCACCCCTGGCCACGGTGCCCCCTCCACGGTCACCATCATCTGGGCAAATAATCCTCAGGGACCCCCGAGAGGTTGCGGAGCTTCAGCGCCGCGTCCACGGTTCGGATGTAGCCGCTGATGACCTTCCTCATCTCGGGGGTGTAGGGGTCGTACTCCAGTTTCCTC